GGCAAAAGTGTAAGCGATTGAGTAATGCGATTGACATTTCTACCAGGACTTGGTAATCCATGAATTTCCGCATAGTTCTCAAGAAAATTCTTCACAGCGGTAGCAACAGTTATATCAATGGTTATTTTGGTTTTCCATCGTGGCACTCGTTTGATATTACCATGAACCCGCGGTATTATACCATTTGTTTCTAAATGATTTCTGACGTTTTCCAAATGAGTGCGACCAATTCCTAACATATTGAGATACGTTTTTTGGCAAAGCGGCGTATTGCGATCTCAATAATAAAAAGTTCTTTTATTAGTACGCATTTTCTTTTTAAGACGTCGACTGGCAGTTATTTCTCCACCATTCATCGCTTTCAACTGAACCATTAAGAAGATATCTTGTTCGGAATTAGAGAGAGCTTGAAATGCTTCACGTAACTCGGCAAACTTTTCTCTTGGAATCTTTTTGAACAACCACATTTACAACCTATCTCCAAGAAACGTATTGCTTTTTCATATTCGGTTGAACCGTTATAATTATAATTCCATATACGGGTATTCCTATATATAAATTTTACCATATTCGATCTGTTTAATGTATAACTCTTCTTTTTATTTACCGTGTTTATACGTCACTCTTATTAAGGCAAATCTCAATTGTGTTTAATGCGGGAAAAATTCAACTTACGATTATAACAGTCTTCGCTAACGACTACGAAAAAGAGATTTCATTGGCTTTGATGTAAGAATCGGGATGGTATTGTAAAGGATTGTTTCGTATAACTACATATTTATCCTTGCGTGATGCATGGAATTTGACAGGATCAGGATGCGATTGAGCTAACTTTTGAAGTAACTCAAAAATTCTATCTTCTTCGGGATCATCATCAAAGCACTTATAGACTTCGTTATTCAGGCCAAACAAACCAATAGACATCTGATATTGTTTGCGTTGTTCTTCCTGTTCCAAAGACTCGTATTTGCGTTTTGAAGCTGGTTTTGTGCTGCTAACAATTTCCTTACCTTTATCCTCTTCTCCTACTTTGTCCGCTAATGATGTAATTGAAGCCTCTCCGCCAAACTGCTGATATAAAGTCAAGAAAGGTGCTGTTGTAATCCCACTGTATGTCATACTAACAGATTGACGTGCATAAACCTCTTGTGTGTCGCGAGAATCTTGATAGTTCCGACATTGGATGAGAATACACGAGATTCTCTGGTCCAGGTCTGCAATATCCGTTGAACCCACCCATGAAAAAATCCCCAGAGGTGTACTGACGCTTGAAGCACTTGCAGTACTGTACGTATCAGAATCTTGCACGGAGGTCGCACTTTGACTTGCATCTCTATTTTCGTCAATAGGTAATTCATGTTACCAGAGCTTAAATCTCGATCCAAAATCGATTCGTTGCAAGAATTAAATTCTCAACTAATTACTACAATTTCCGAGCTTAGAAAGGAGAATGCAGAGATCAAAGCCGAGAATACGAAATTAAAGCGGGCTATGAAAGAGAATGCCGAGCTTAAGAGCAGAATCGAAGAGATGGAGAAAAATAATCATCAAACTCTACTGTGAACAGATTTTGTGATTCCGCATGCCTATTTGTATTAGAACTCGGAGGTAGGATGACCGGCAGGATAAGATCGATCCCAGTTTGTCCACGTTTACATTGAATGGCAGCTCCGCGATTGATGCAACGCGGCAGATCCACCCTGGATTGTGTGTAACGAAGCGGGACAAAATGTGTGAAAAACATTTCACCTGAAAGAAAATTGACCATGACTGATGAATCAACAGCACTTTCTTCCAAAATCTCTTTCACTTTTTTGCGACCACCTGCAATCAACTGTTCGAGATATTCACCGACACAAAGAGCCCGTGAGAAATGGACATCTATGGCATTCGGTGGTCCTTGTGCCTTGTCCCATGCGAAGAGTGCCAGAAGTCTACCCACTAGTTCACCTCGAAAGCCCCCCTCGACATGACCTGAACGCACCGCATGCACCAGTTGACTTAAGTAACGCGTTCGGGCAATGCGATGCATGAGATGTGCTGAAGCCTCAGCAAGAATGGGTTCCGATGGATAAGATACGTATAAAGATTCTCCTGATGTTGAGATGTAATGAACATATGCAAGATGACTTGCCGTCAACTGTGATGCATGTATTGATTGCGGAACAATATCGAGGCAAACACGTGGCCCGACGATCGCTAGAGCCTTCACTGAATCAATATGTTCCTGTGGCGAGAAATAATCAGGATTATGTCAAAGATAAAAAGGCCAATATATATTATATCTATAAAACTAACTTCAATGACGATTCGAATCTTGCAGATAGGTCTGTTTGTGAGGTCAAAGACTTTTGTCGTTCTATTACTTTACTTAGCCAGGTTGGCATTGGTTCATCAAACTCCCAATTACTCAGCTGAAATTCTTCGAAAACGTCGTCTTCATCAGTACATTCATCATCCACGTATTTATCAAACGTACAGTTCAATGAGTCCCGCCTATTTGTGTTAAGTTCATTCATTTTGGTTTCATTTCTTGCAGGTTGGGAGACGAAAGAATCAGAAGGGTATGTTTGATGTTCGGGTGTTCGTGGTGGAAGGGTGGGAGTGACAACGTGTGGATGAGGGAAGAGTGACTCTTCGTGATCATCCTAAAGTATTAAATACAAATAATTGGTTTGCTGTTTCTCAATATAAAGTTTATAAACGTAACGCATCCGTACCTTTTTTGTTCCCAAAATTATATTATTACCCATGATTTGGGTTGCGTAATCTCCTGCGTAATTTCCTGCGAACTGCTTCATCTTCTTTACTTGAAAACTTTCAATTTTCACGCCACTAGAACGCTGAGGATTTCCTTTCTGTAGACCAATTCTTAAGAAAATAATGCAAATTAACACAAACTTACAGAATAAAATTTCTTAATAAAATATAAAGCAAAACTAATAGCTATCCTTCGGACCAGGAGACCCAGCTTGCACTAAGCGTCGAACGAGGAGTTCATCACTGAGGCCAGGAGACTCAGCTTGCGCTAAGCGTCGAACGAGGAGTTCATAACTGTTGGACTAAGCTCTTAGTTCTTTCAACTCTATCTCACTAATGTACACAGACCTTCCAATCGTCAAGGATATCTCGGGCTTTTTTTTTGTGCGCTATTCCAAATTCAGAATTTTCGTCTGCCACCTTTTGAAGATCTTTTTTATGCAATCCAATATTTTCTGTAGAATCTTTAATCCCGAATTCGCATGATAAAATTCTATCATATTAACGCAAGTCCAGTTTTCTAACGCGGTATCATTGAAAAAAGTCGTAGTGGGTTTCCAGTCATGCGAAAAAAAATGGTTTGTGAGGAAATTCTTATGGATTATCGAAGCGCGTGCCAAATTTCCATAATAGTCTAAAGCAAGATAATGTCGATCGCTACTTTTAAGGTATAACTTATGCCATAAAATTTTGGCAGTCCCGTGACTTCCGGAGCAAGGGGTTGTAAACAAAAACTCTCTTACGCGCTTTTTTTCTTCTTGATCTTGTGCTTATCTAATACCCATGGCAAAGAATTTGTTCGGGTAACACAAAAATGTTCGGCCACGGCAGTAACAACAGAGTAAGCACGTCTTACTCATGTTTATGGTAACTGTACCGTATAGACTTAATTTGTAAGGGTACGAAATGTAACGAAAACACCATATTCAGTAAAGTTCTGGCAAACTCAAAACCAAGTAATTGTGCGTTGACACTATAAATCATTTATTGATATTTGATTGAGATAACATATCACTACAGCACTAGTTCTAGACTCTTTTCTTATATACTAACATCACCCACGTAAATTTAACATATAAACGTAACTATTATTATCTAAAAGTACTCATAGCGACACATATATTACTTAATACACCTGTTTAAATGATATAATTTCGTAAACGGAATGAAGTTTCTGCTGTTCGACACCAAACGCTCTTGCGAGATCTGTCTCTACGTAAGGATCTATGGAAAAGCTTAATGTTTGCCATATTACGAAGAAACTGCAAGAGATCCATTATATAAATATGTGACTTGCAATTATTTTTCTGAAACCTAAAGACAGTACACTAGCTTTAATGGATAATAACGAATACAATGGTTCCATCGAATATGAAAAAGCAATCCGTTTCTTGGAGACAGGTTGCAACTGCGGCTGTTGCCATCAGTCACATTGTGTTACAGCCACATCATAATCAGCCGCTCATTTATAGAATGTTCACTTTGTCTGGTTTTGTTGCAGCATGCCCCACTTTATGGAACATCCTCTAGATAGAAAGAGTGCGATTAAAAGTCTTTTCCTCGCTCGACGTCAAAATTAAAATTGTCTTGTCTTTAAAGAGGAATTATTTTTGATTGAGACATGACAACTATAATAGTATCAATTATACGAATATGCCATGTATATCTGTCGTAATAATTACATGTCTTGCAAATGCTATAAATAAAACGTGAAAAAGAACTGTAAAAGAACATACAAATATTACCAATTTTGAGAAATAAAAATAGAACATATTCTAATATTCAATATCTCTATAATTTGAGATGAACACACCAATTGGTAGTATATGTACAAGTGGGGGTTTTTTGATATTGGTAACACCAATCTTCGCGTCCAATTATAAAATTATGCAAGTCGTGTTTTCTTTCTATTTTTTCATTAACGTTAAAACGCGTTTATTCATAGGGCATCTACCTGGCAAGTATGGCCAATCCATATTTTAATCCTCTTTTATTTTTAATGATTGTTGATATTCGGTGCAGTTACTAAATAAAATTGATTAATCATGTGATTACAGAAATAGATAAAATTCTTACGCAAAATTCACAACTACAAACTTTTTTGTTTCGATAAAACATGACGACAGCAGGAAAGACTCCATTCAAGGTAGAATATGCCGTCGAAATGACCTGTAATGACTGTGTGGAAGCCGTGTCAAATGCGCTTGCCGGAATACCTGGTAATGTCACTTATTTTGTTGAGACTAATTCATAGACGTAAACCACCGTCAACAACGAACTGCAATACATTATATAGGCATTGATGGTTTCTACGTTGACCTGAGTGAGCAGCGGGTTGTCGTAGAAGGAACTGGTCAGTACTCGATTGAAAACTGTTAATTGAGTCAAGATATTAGCTCATGCCTGGGTGATCATTAGCTCCTCCTTCGAAAGTCTTTCAGATAATAAGAAATACTGGCAGAAAGGCTGTGGTTCGCGGTCAAGGTACTCTAAAAGGTAAATAATATAAAATATCGAGTGTTCGTACAGGATGTTACTGTCTAGAGGTTGACGAAAATGTTATTTGTGTAGGGAAGGCTGGAGCTGCTGTTTGTATTTTCGAAGGCTATACATATACACCTGCATCTGACGATGAACCGACACCTAAACGTCCGCCTCGTGGGGTTGCTAGATTCATTCAGATCGATGAAGATATTTGTTTAATCGACGTAACGGTCGAGGGAATACCACCCGGAACCCATGGTATTCATATACATGAAACTGGAGATATTTCCGATGGTGTTGCTTCGACTGGCGACCACTATAACCCCGAGGGAGTCGCACATGGAGACTTGGAACAAGGTCATGTTGGTGATCTGGGAAACATAATTGTCGACGAAAATGGTTGGGGTGATTTGTTGGTGGAAAGCCGGCGCATAAAGGTCGGGGACGTAATAGGACGCTCTATGGTCATAACTCACGATGAAGATGATCTTGGACAAGGATCAAACGAGCAGAGCAAGATTGACGGAAATAGTGGTCGTGGTGCGCTTACTGGCGTTATTGCACGTAGCGCTGGTGCATTTGAAAATTCCAAGAAGATTTGTGCATGTTCTGGCACGACCCTTTGGGAAGATGTCCGAATTTGATAAACATTTACGCTGATGAATCCAATATTTACTTTGTTTGATCAATGAAATTTATTTGTACTTTTATTTCTTCTCAATGACAGTCATGTTTGTATTTTCATATACTTTTCTAATCTTTTTTTGGGCACAGAATATTCAAATGTTACGATGTTTGAAATAAATGGCTTTTATTCAAACGAGTGCAAGCGAAATGTTTTCATAAAACTTATTCAATTCTGCCGAGAATGCGAGGCGAATTCTCTTTATTGACGCGTGACATTGAACATTAAGACTAATTGTTTGCCGTTGTTACGTGGATGGAAGCATACAGCGGACTTTAATAGTTACAAGCTTAGCATACTTGTTCGCTCCAGGCGCTGCAGCAGTTTAACGTAATTTATTGTAAGGCTGATATAAAGACACTGTATATAATAGTTTATAGTTTTATACGTCTATGATTATTCTTTCCCAAAGTTTTAAAAGTCGTATCCTTGTATTTTGAAATTTTCTGCAAAGGTAAAGTAACGTACTACCAGCTTCAGCACAGTTTCGGGCAAATTCATCGCCAAGAGAGTATTAATCATTATTGCGAGTCCCTCCGTGCGAATGAGCTTGTTTAAATTACACGAAATAGCCGTAGGATACTGCCAAAGAAAGTTAGCAAGGCAATAAGTAAGCAAACTTTTATGTACATTACCAAATTTCAGCAAATTGATTCTGACTTACGATAATTTCATGGTACCAACGCTCTTGGTAAACCGTCAATTTAACAGCTGCCGCCAGTGCCTTTTGTACATCACCCTTCTCTGCATAATGCTCCAAGAGTTTTAGACATGCTTTAGGAGAGAACTTCTGATCTAGGCAGCTTTGATATGCGTCTATCGATTCCTCCTATTTAAACCGCCGTGAGTGTTACAAGCATAAATGTATGTTTATATAGTCGAAGCTCGAGAACCGAACAAATTCCTCTACGTTTTATTTGTTATCGCGGTAAACTCATAGTTCGGGTAGTCAGAACATCCCGTGTTGAATTTTCCTCGAGCTTTGACCACAATAACCAGCATGTTTTGTACATTACCTCGTGATATAAACGGGCAGCCAAGTCACCATACATCTCCCATTCTGCACTGCTTTTACGGTAGGTTAATTGGTGAGCCTCGTAATGTGAAAGTTCTGAACGCCGCCCAGTGTATACCCTCAAATCCTATACGAGGATTTCGGATAATAAGCATCTGTACAAGACTTAACCAGCGACAAAACATATAAAAAGCAATATAAAGTACCTCATAAAGTACCATAAATAAATTGTCTAGCCATCTTCATGATACGGTATTCAAACGTTAGAGCGTTAATAAACAATAACAAAACATTTACTTCAACGTTTAAACAGTCGCATACACCACCTTTCGCAAAGTCTCTTGTGGTTGAAAGAAAATACATCATCCTTTAAACAGTTGTACATGTTTCGGTGAGTCATCGTTTGTTACAACAATTAATCGAGACCCCATCGTGCGTGTCAAACTTACCTTTGATTCATCATATGTACTTTGTGCATCAGATGTATCTTCGTTTGCCGCCTGTCTTGGCTTCACGAGTTCCGGCGTCCTGAATTCATGTTTTTCGGGTTTAAATTCCGGGACGTTACTAGTGCTCGCATTATTACTAAGATTGATATCTTCCAATTTGTCCGAGTCACCAGATTGTTCATCAGCTTCTTCATCAGTTTTTCCTACAGTTTCTTCTGGTCGAGTCTCCGCGTGTTGTGTTGTTCCTTTTACTTCTGTTTCTGCTTCTGCTTCTGCTTCTGCTTCCGCTTCTGCTTCTGCTTCTGCTTCTCCGTGGCTGTTTTGGCTGCTGTCTTCAACCGCTGCTTTAGTAACAGTCTGAACTGGTGTTTCTTTATTAGCTCCTGACTTATTCTCGTTGCCTTCATTTTCAGCAGTATCATTGTTTACGTTTTCATTTGCAGTCGAAACAGTAATTTTTGGTACAACCGATGTTTTCTCGTCGCTCTTTTCATGATCGGCGTTTCCATTAACAGTTTCTTGTAACGCAGCTTGGCTTATGCTCTTATGAACTCGTTTTTGACGCTCTTCCTCAGCAGCCTTCTGCAGTCGATATTCTTCCTCCATAACAAATACAGATGATCGGCATTTTAATAATGCGTCCCAGCCAACTTTATGAACGAGACGTGTCAGAAGCAAATAAGCCTTTGCAAAAGTTCCCCGCAAATTTGACGCTGGCAGCAATATGGGCTTTTCATCAAGCTAATAACATTACGGTCAAATATTAAATCTGTTATTCCTGTTTCTATAGAGCAGGTATACCTAATACGACTGCCAACGTACCTCACTATCATAGATATTTTCGTCGCCCAAGATCCCTGAGTTTGCTATGTCAGCTCTGACGGGTAAATGAGACCTCGCGGGAGTTGGCATACGATGCATGTCTCTTTCGTTGTAAGTAAACATTGGACATGAATTCAATGACAATAAAGCCTGTAGATGTAAGCAGTTAGATACAAAACTCAAAGAATAAATCTGACACAATAATGTCGAACAAAACACTAGAACTGATGACACACAGACTCATAGTCACCCAACTCAATGTAGACTTCTGTCAGCTTGGCCCAGGTCACAAACTCGGATGGTGCGCAGTTTACCGCCTGTTTCGCTAGCTTTAATGCATAGTCGAGCGCCCCCTAGTTACGCGAAACGTATATTAGTATTATTCAGGTAGAGTTCATCAATAGTTAAAGATAGTCTCACCTTACTTAGAAGAAAATCCGTTTGTACGTGAAGTAAAGCATAGCTTAATGAATTTTGTTTAAGAGCGTCGTACAGAACGTTTACGGCCTTGATCTCTTCGTCTTTTAAAAGATATTTCGAAGTGTCAATTATTTATCAAAACACAAAAAATCCCTTTTCTCATCTCATCGGAACATCCATTACCCATGCCAATGTAAGCCTTTGCCAATAATGCCGCTACTTCCGGTTCCTTGAGAAGGAGTAGTTAGCTGTTAAGGATAATAATGTTGTTGTGATTGTCTCCAAAATCATCGCGTAATGCAAGGATATGTTTCTCAAAAAGGTTAACAGCTCTCTCGTATCTAAAGCTCTCGCTGAAATACTTTATGATCCCCGCTGTCAAATGATTGTTGACAACGGTAGCTACTTGGATTTCGGGATCGGACCCAAGTTGCCATCCTAGAAAAAAATTGGAAACAGACACACAATCAGTTGAGTTGAATTGATGAATCTTCAATATGAACAAGTCGTATTAAGTTGAATAAAAGCTGAATGCTATTTTTTTTGCATATTAGCTAATTTCTCTGCTGACGTTCCAACAGTTCTGAACATAGATTAGACAGCAAATCAAGCAACGTTGCCTAACCTTTGAAAAACAGCTGTTCAGCAGCTTCCAAGAAATGTGCCTCGGCTTCCAGGTTCGGAATAGGATCCAATTTACGAATCCCATACAAGCGATAATTGGCATCATCTGAATATAATATAGCGCGAAGAATCGCAGAAATGTACGTCTCTTGCCAAATCTCAGGTGTAGCTTCGCGTCTAGAAGATTTCGTGAATGCATATGTTAGTTAAATCATTGAGTGTCAGGGTTTATGAAACATCCGTTTATCTCCCACCTTTCACCGCGCAAATCAATTACGTAGCTCTCTACCCCTCCAGGAATTTTGACTTCGACACGTACGTCCACTCGCGAAAATGCATTAAAACAGCTACGCGATAAAAAAAAAAAGTCTTGGTGTGAATCGTAAGACTTCATAGGATCTGATATAAATTGATCTCATACTTACCAATACACGCCCGAACGAATACGCCATGCGGATGATTTTGAGAACCACGCATGCGCTTCTTCCTGAAATAGCTCGAGCGTTTAACATAAAAGAGCATACCAAAAAAATGCTCAAATCAATAATATATTGACTCACCAATGCGTATGTTAGCGAATTAAGGTACGCTGCCAACGTAGCCGACGATGACGCATCGACACCAGATACATAATGATAAGAGCCGACCTATTTAAATGTTAAAATTTAGCTTGCATAGAAAGAATAAAATCATGTTTATAGTGTTTAGACCCTACGAGCGTTGCATGGTGCAAGTCATAGTCGATAAATTCTCTACCTCCTTAACACCTGGTTTCGCATTAGCTTTTGTAATGTGACATAAGTCTGGTGGGCCGAGTTCCCGGAAAGTGGCTAGGTTGAGAACAAGAAATACAGCGAAAAGATCTCGTAAATTATAGGGTCTGAGGCGAAGAGATGGAGGAAGAAGCACACAGACGAAATTTCAGTTACCCAATCCCTCTCTTCGTGCCTCCAGAGATTCGTCTAGTCGAGTTTCGAAAAACTCTGGGATATCTTTCAGCGCATCCATGTAAATTTAATGGATACCGTTAGGGCCTATATAACTGAATTTCCCGTTCAGACAATTTGGCAAGTATGGGTTTTTGAAACTGAGTAGTTTTTTTAGTTTAAATTGTCGTTTTGCTAAATTTGTGTATGATATGCACAAGTAATACGCACATGTATAACAAACAAGAGGGAAAATTGCTCACGATGTAATTGTAAACGATGATATCACGGATGGACAAATGATGTTCGCTTTTATTTATTAAAACAACATATAACGAATCGTACACGACTGAACCGATTCCATAAAGGTATTTACAAGACAATTTACCAGCAAAAAGAACTTAACTAGCGTCAAAGATCCATCGACATATGTCACGACCAAAGATTACATTCGGATAAGAGGGGAAGAATAGTTATAAGCTTAGTACATCAAAACACTTTTCACTATAACGAAATCAGAAAGTAATAAACTTTTTAGATGACGAAAAAAGCCTTGCATGAACATGTCCTCTCAATCATACACAGACTGATTCTATTTACTCCAAGATTCAAACGTTCTATTGCTTAGAACTATGTACAGCTATATTCAGATTGATCGTAGCAGACAACTCGACTGGTTTGTCATCGATAATAACCGTAATGTTGGCCTTAGGTTGATTGGCACTCCAACCGTAACTGCCAGTCTTAAACTTTTGAGGCTTGGCTGTGAGCAAGAACAACGTTGTGATCCCATTAGAAGCCTTGTTTGTTTCCTCCTCAGCATTTCCTTTCTTGTCCTTTATTCCATCATTTTCCAATGGCTTGTCAGATTCGGTATTGTCGGTGGCTTTGGTATCCGCTTTACCATCTTCCACTTGAGCATGAGATATTTCGACTTTTAACTCACGAGCACTAGCAAGAAACGATTTTGCGGTTGGTATCTTAGTTGCTGCGGATTTGCTCTTTTTGTTCTGTAGAAAAGGATGGGTTCATCTTGTTCAAAAGCGTTCGACGAATGACCTTGGTTTTTAAAACGCAAACGGGCAAGCATACCTCAGTCTTTTTCTGTTTGGCCTTGGTGGTTGCAGTTTCGGCTCTGGCTGTTTCGATCTTGGTCTTTGCCGCCCTTTTTGGTTGTCTTTTGGGTAAAACTTCCTCAGTTTCATTCTTTCTCTTACGCGACGACCTCTTTTCCTCAGCGGTTTCAGTCATTTTGTTCAAGTAAAGGCTACAGATGGGTTAGGAAACCTTGTATATTATGTTTAAACACTTTGTAAGAGCGCGCTGTTTACAAATGTCAGTTGTAGATGATCGAAAGAAACAAAGTTCATCCTTGGCCAGTTCTGTGACTACTTTTGGAAAAGACACGTGTAAATTTATGCAGTTAAGGTCATTGACAGATAAAAATTTTGCATTTTTGAGCTTGGAACGCGCGTGAATGACTAAAAAACGATATGCGGCAGTGGCTGAATATGTACAGGGGGATGTCATTATAAGCACATCAATATTAGTAAGAAATCCCAATTTTCGGCTTTTGGCGCATAAATATAAGCGGAGTGGCCAAAGAGCTTAATTTACCCATAATCACGAAAAAGCTGGACAACAATCACAAAATAAGATACTATTAATCCGACAGAATGTGATTAAAGTCTTTAGTGATGATTTTTAACTACTTGAGAAAAATTCACTTTGTTCGAAACTATTATGATGAATGACGTATTCTGTTCGTAATTCTGCGTAGTACGGTACAAAAATTTCCCAATATGTGCAAGACTTTATTTCCAAGCACACTAAAGTTAGTTATAACATTATATGGCCTAGCTAGACGAGAGATGTAATATTGAGTTTCGGGGAGAGAGCATTCCCATGAATGTGACACATCGAGTAATACAATAATTATTTTCCGTTTATCTCAAAGCTCTGGCATTTAACTAGATCAGAAAAAGCAGTCATAATTACCTAGCAATCGGGCATCTTCGAAAAGATTAATAAATTACATCTCCACTTAAACGCAAAACCCGTTTCCCGGTTCATCAGCTGTCCAAACATTGTTTTAATCTTCCGATTCATTTGTCTCGTTGCAGAACCTGATGATGTGCCCAAAAATAGATATGTGACCATTCAAGTATATTTGAACAAAAAAACATTAAAAGTCAAATGACAAATTGGTTGTGAATTCACTATGACTACTACTATTGCACGATTTCCAACAAGTTTCCAATGAAGGAATCCATACCAACGAAAAGTATACTGTAACTTATTATTATCCAAATTCAAGCGATATCGCCAAAAGCAGGAAATGGGGTTTTTTACCAATTTATTAATTCGCTCATCACGCCACGCCATATTAATATCAACATGAAATCTATAGAATTAAGTAAATTACTACTGTGCAATACTTTTGTTTCCCCTTGTGATATTTCTCTCGCCACATTGTTTAGTTTACTAATTACCGTATTATGCAACTTGTAATCCAGAATAAATAATACAACGCACGCACACCTCTTTGAATATAGTTATGACGCTTCATCATCGTCGTTTGCAATGCTTGCAGATGATTCAGTTTCAGCATTCGTTTTCTTCTTAATTTTACCTTTTATCTTTCCTTTTTCTTTCTGTCCTTTATCTTTATTTGCATCATCTTTGGTTACCTTAGCTTTATTTTTGTCTTTATCCTTATCCTTTACTTTCTCTTTTCCTTTCTCCTTCTTTTTGTCCTGCTCCTTCTTCTTCTTCTTCTTCACCAAAACCTGCACTTCTGGCGTAGCTACTTTAGCAGCCAAGAGTGTCTTATCAAGTCTACGTTCTCGTTTCTGGAATACCGCAATTTGCGCCAATCGTTGTTGCTTCAACGTTTTCAAGTGTGCGGTACGACTTTTGAGGATTTTCGATCGTGCTATCATGGTCATCATTGTTTGTTTGATGGTTTGGAGTTTCTGTTGATATTCCGGAAGTTTGGAAAACTTATTGTAAAAAGATTAAAATACAGAGGACCATATCAGTAAAGGCAGAAAGGATGGATTGGTCCTTCAGCTTCTCTTTAAACTAATACAAGATAACGGAAAACAGAAGCAACTCACAGTATGTGATATGTAGTTGTAATTGGGTTGATTATTTGATCGCTCATGCGTGCTGGTGATATCTTCAAGAAGAAGCCGTTGTTTCTCTCTATGCGACCAACAGAAAAACGTGAATAATGGGTTTTCCTATGCAGAGTTTTCAATGATGAATTTCTATAATAGTGGAGCTGAACCTCACTCAAACTCTCTCAGTTGTTTTTCAATTTGAGCCAGCAATGGCTGTAATTGTGCCAACAATCCTTCTGACAATAAAGGCACTGTATGCGTGAATTCATTCGCTGAATCATTATTTCCGTCTCCGACACCCGTATTTCCCAAAGAGATCTCTGAAGAAGACGCCTTTGTGCTGGCTGGCTTTGGCTCATTCTTGACTTTCTGCACGTTTGCATCCGTCATTGTATAAGAATTACTGATTCAATAATTCTCACATCGAACATATGCTGTACGACCCCATAAAAGTAATAGCGTCAGGATGTCAAAGTCACATGATGATTATCTTGATAACAATAACCCCATGCTTTACGTATTAAAAGAGTATGTAAAATATATTTATCCGAGTGATTTAGAACTTGAGGGTTTCGATCAGCGAACAGTGAGCCGCGATTTACAATCGGATGACGTAAACTATTTTTATCGTACATATTAGTATGTCAATCAAACAATCAAATCATATGATACGATACTTCATAATTTTGCGTGGCCATCAGAATTATTAATTTTTCAACAATACCATCATATGATCAATGTTTAGGGGTAAAGCTAAACTGACAGATTTGGCAAGTAAGCTATAGCAAAGATAAGCTTTTACCATTGAAGTGGAAAGATTTCTTTATTGTTTGATAATAATAAATTATATATTAATATTAATATGGGGCAGACTAACATGGCATATTAATATTAATATGCTTGTTAACAAGACCAAGGCGAGATACAAAAACTTACGAGATGGCAACAATTCCTTTTATTATGTTGATCAAGAGACTAAAAAAAAGACCATTGATGAGGAGTTTGTATTTATATTTAATGATTTGTTGAGAAAAACTAGAGTGAATGAAGATGAACTTGTTCTTGACCTGTCAGTCAGAATTAAAGGTCCATCTGACTTTTGACTTACATCTCTTTGATGGATTCCCTTTCTATCAATGTCTCATTCTTTTGCTCATCTGTCATATTTTTTTTTCAGGTAAGAAAGCTTATGCAGATTGGAATATCAAAAAAGTGGTTCAAGGATATTCTGCAACAGAAAAGCAGGACTATTGCTCATATACCTCAGTTCAACATATGGGGGGGGGGAGACAAAAGTATTGCACAGTTTTAATTTACTTGGTTCGACAAATTTTTTATATGTAATAAAAAAATTACCTAAATGGGATCTTTATTTTGATTTAATAAACGTGTTGTGATGACCCCAAATTTTTTACGTCGGCACATATGGGTCTTGCCAAAGAACTTACTGATTCTCAAAAGGTGCTATAGTTGCAACCAAAAAATTCGGTCACAATGATGCGGCAATTGCAAAAGTGATCGCACGACAGTTCTACGGTTTTTTGCAGCCCACGAATCCAAAAAACTCCACAAAAACGATCAGGTCGGCCGCGCATTCTTAATCAACGGGAAAAATTAAAAATCGTAACAAAAAGTCACGACGACAGAATCTGAGAGAAATTACTAAACAAATTTCTAAATCTACAACCGACAAATTTCTATAAAAACAGTCCAAACGTGCACTTCATGAAAAAAAACTTGTGTTCTTGCATTCCGTTAAAAACGCCTCATTTCAGAAAAAAATGATTCGAGTGGGCAATGGAAAGAAGGGATTGGACTGTTGTCTACTTTCTCTCAGTTTCAAAGGTCTGGGTGGGGTCGGGTATGGCGAGAACCGGGAGAAAAATATGTTGAAAATTGTATCGCATCAACAGTGAAGCATTCACCCAAAAAATGTTTTGGGCATGTTTTTCTTATTTAAAACTGGGTCCTATCGTTTCTCTTCAAGGTTCGATAACTGGTGAAGTGTATAAAGGTATACTTGAAGAATACGCCATTCCCACACTCAAAACATTTGCCCGGCAAAGCAAAAGAAAGTTTATTTTCCAGGAAGACAATGCTGAGTTCAGCAACATGGATCCAAGATTTACGGAAGATGAGATAGACGCTTCGCAGCTAATATCGACGCGAATTGGAGAATCTTCAAAACATCGATCCCCAACGAAGCATCAGCTCGTTTTTCATTGACTCCTTTATGTCATCTACGGCTTCTCATGCCAACTATGAGCACTCCTCAATGAGTTGAAGAAGTACTCGATGGAACCTGTGGGTACGGTTACCTAGATTACTTGGTTGAATGCACGAAATCGTGGTATTGGTAACGGAAGCGAAATTGGAAGAAATTCAGAAAGGGATAGCCCAGAATTTGGTACAGCTGCACACAGCACTAGACGTATTAGTATTCACAATAGTCGCTCTTTCTGTTGGGTAATTGTTGACTGCCTCTTTCCACAGATGCTTTGTTTTCTTGCTACTCAGCAATCGCTAGGTAAGAGAAAATGTGGTGAGGATGTGCGCAAAGATGGTGAGTATACGAGATCGTAACAACCGGAGAAATCTTCTTTGATTATAATATTAATGGGTATCCGTTTGCTATACTAAATTTAATACAACGTGCACAGTGAAAGTCGATATAAGGGTTCGTTGATATAACGGATTTCGCTTAGTACAGATTTTTTTCGATGAACGGAGCTTAATGGGACATTGTTCAACATAACGGAATTATAACTGATTGTCACGATATAACGGATTCTGTGCCTGTCCCGAGGAATCCGTTATATCGACTTTCACTGTGTATATCGATCATGAGAAGGCACATAAGGATTTTTACGACTGACGTATAATTGATTACGGTGATTTCAGAATGAAAAGATTTTAATAAACTGTCTGACAACCTTACACATAATTCCCAGGATATCGAGAAACATTCTATCACTAGTATTAGGGTTAGTTCCATACTAGGGTTAGGGTCGGCTTAGAGACCAACGACGCCAGAATATTCACCAGGTATTATTGTGTCAGAGCTTTACAGGCTCACAAATTTATTCAAGCCAGATGTACGTTATGACATTATTATGTATTTGGTTGTCCATTGGTGAACCACTTCCTCAGAAATAGATCATTGATTGGAGTTTAGCATGCGATATTGAGGATGAACAGCGACCAGCTATGTGCTCTTGTATTTAACATAGTACTACACCAGTTTGAAGGTAACGATTAGATTTGCCAGAACTAATTTAACAGTGATATCAACTCTTATTGTTATTCCGACCGTTAGAGTTAGTGCGAACTATTACATGACTGACAGCTTTTACTGTCTACATGTATTTTTATTATTGATTGTGTATGAAGATCACACCATATTAATCGACGGCCATGAAAGTGTCGGCAGATTGTTGGTGAAACTCGTTACACGTGAAAGAGTTACACACGTAGGAAGTATAAATTTCCCCAACTGGGAATTTTCGCTGTGTTTTTTCAACTTTCCAAATGCTGGATCGACTAATGGATTCACAGTTGCAATATCAGAGGCCCGTCAAACACGCGAGCATCGAACGTGAGTCGAAGGACGCTTATCAGCAGAATGAACAAGACGAGTCAGATAAATTTCATATCGACAGAACGAGCGTTCGTACTACAGACCAAAGTTCAACAGACAAACATTCTTCCAAAAAGCACGAATCAGAATCATTATCGAATTGGCTACTTACGCGATCCGCAAGACGAATTATCCTTCCTAGTATATACATATTGGGGATAACTTTGGCCATACTAAGACGAAAAGTAAACGCACAGCAGAAGTCCTACTGGTTTGGACCGAACGTTGTGAACAATTACACTGTAAAAGTCGGATGGTTCTGGACTAGTTCGGTATTTTTTTATTACACCTGGGGATTAAGTAATGCTCCCCGCAAGCACACGATTGATCGTATTAAAAGGTACACGATAGTCAGCTTATATTGGCGTTTCATGACTCAGGGTCTGTACATTCCAGGTCTCTTCCATACTGTACTTACACAAACTGGTTCCTGTTCTAATGGAGCAAGTGACATAGACGCTTTAAGTTGCAAAAACAGTGGCGGGCAATGGAATGGGTTGGATATAAGCGGACACTGCATGTTATTGATACATGCTTCATTGTTTTTGATAGAGGAGTTTTTAGTGAAATTGTATAGTAAGAAAAATATACGAAAATGGCCGCTTTATAGTTTACTGGGTTTATGGACATGGATGTTACTAATGACTGCATCCCATTTTCATACGGCACTTGAATTGTTCCTCGGAGCTTTTTTTGGATTTCTCTGTTGGTATTTTTTGTATTAGCGCAAGAGGGAAATCAATTCGTCTTTAGTGATAATAGATTAAAAAGCACACATTATTAATAATTTACTACAACGCATCTATTTTATAAACAATAAAATCATAGAATTGTGTCTATATAACCATAGCAGCTTTTTTGGGATAGACGTGTGAATAACTTATACCATGCTGATATGCTATACTTTTGGACAAATGTGCTTTTACTATTAAGAAAACAACACGTACTCACATTGTAAAGAGAAGTCAAGGGACGTAGGAATAAACACCATATATTATTACCAAACTAAGAAGCTGATATTTACAATTGCCCTTCATCGCCTTTCCTCTCCTAGGGGCGAATGGAATGCCACTCCAAAATGGTTCGTTATAACCTCAATTCAAACTCATTGTACTAAACCTACGATTAGTGTCGTGAATACTGACAGCATCACCGTTTCTCCCTCCATTCTCATAACTCTCGTTACCCTCATGACTGTTCCTAGTGTCATTATCCTCGTGACTATTCCTATACAACGGTTCCTTAATTGCGACGCCGTTTTGCGATGCTGTTGAGAAATTCGATCCATAAGACGGGACTCCAGATGAAGAGGGAGAGGGAGAAGGCGAAATTGTTGAAATGCCAGAGAAACTTCCGACGAGACTGGGTGATGCCGCACGCCGCTTTGGATTGAAATAGGGTCCAAATCGGTCCTCCGAGGCTGGGTTAAGCAGTCAAAAGATAACAACAAATTGAAAGCAAAAGCTTGTTAGCGAATGTCCATTAAATGAGTGCCATGACATGACCGATAGCCATTCCACAACAAATCTGACCAGTGATGTTGGCCATACTTGTCAATAAAGTTAACCCATATCCGCTTACTCTTTCGCTTTACTCGTCCAGCAATTGATCCGACATTTGGTTGAACGGGTGATGTTATATCTTGGCGACGCTACACGTCCGGAAAAAAAATAAAGAACAACATCTATATTATTAAAATTCTTGACCATTAATCAATCAATTCGAGTTGTGGTTCTCACTCACAATCATCTCAACCTCGGGGTTCGATTTTGAAACCGTAGATGGGGGCGGCGAGGGTTGCACGTCGCGGAATTTCAGCCAATCTACAATAAAATCCTAGATAATTTCATACTTAGTATGACCCATGCCCAAATTACTACACCCAAGTAATAGAGAGAACAAACCTCGGATTGTCTCTGGTTACAATCAATCAATTTTACATGTTCGCCTTTGAGCACCTTTGTAGTTTTGTATTCCTGCCTAATCTCTGCTTCAATTGGACTGGCCTCCTCTTGAAGTTCATTTACGACCCGCGTAAATGATTTTATTTTTGGCTGTTGGATAATGATTGAGTTTTAGCTGACGATTAAACGAAATGTGATTATAACGATTTTTTATCCGTTCGATTCATCCGGCGTGAATTAGTCGCAGACGCTCGCTTTCTTACCTACCAACAAGGACGCTCGCCTGGCCCTGACAGGCCGATAGACAGGTGAAGGTCTCTCACTTCGCGAATCTGAAAACGATCCACTTGGTGAACTGTCAAGATTCAAATCACTCATACTACTCCTTCTCAGTAATTGTGGCGTATTAGATAAAAAAAGGGTAGGCCGTACCGTTGGTGTTGTGAATAGGTTTGTAGGATACATCGGAGGCGTAGAGGGAGCTGATGTTGGAGTATCGGGTCGCGAGAAAGATTTTGGCATAAATTGGAACGAGAATGCTGGCTTGTTGGGGTCATCATCGTTGCAAGATTCGTTTTCGCTTGGTGTGGGAGTATCCAGTTGCATGGATATTGCAGATACATTACTATCCCGTCGATGGCGAGTGGGTGTATCACCTTGAATTGACATCGCCGAGACATTACTATCTCTCCTTCGGTATGGGGAAGTAAAGTCTGGAATATCTGCCGGGGAAGTCATATAATAGTTATTTTGAATCATTGATGTTTGAGCGAACTCGGTAATTAGTGAAGGTAGTATTGGTCGTGCTATTTTTCTAAACTGAAATTGCTGTTCTGGCAGAGGTTCTTGCGAGGCGGGAGCGGGAGAGTCTGAGGTTACTTGTCCTTGGACTGTAAACATTTTCCCGAGATCTTGGGAAGTAAACTGTATACCGTTAAAAGGAGAAACGGTTGCAGACGGTTGCCTTGGAGAACCTGTCATAAATCTGAATACATTGTTAACATTTTCACTAGAGCAGTCATTAGTATTCATGTTCAACGACTGTTCAGCCATATTCCAGGTGTAAATGCGAGTAGTGGATGCTAGTGATAGTTGTCAATATGTTGAGAGAATTATGTACAAATAAAAAAATGAAGTTACAGTTTATTGCGTGGAAGTGAACGTTCTTTCCCATGCGTCGAGTATGTCGATTTCTTAATTAGTGACGGGTTCGCGTTGACGAAGACGTTCAGCGGGCGATCACATCTCATTTTGAATTATTACACGTGGTATTATCAGACAAGGAACTTTTCAATGCATTCAATTACTTTGAAAAAAACAAGACAAATATTATTACATGCAGAAAGTTTTCTATATCATTCCTTCATTATCTATCGACATGCAAATCTAGCGTCAGCCTCTGTTTGTTAAATAATTAGATATTCATACAAAGTTTTCTTTTTGTAAAAAAATATATAAAATAAAATTCTTATATAAACCGACGCTGTTTACCGTATATATGTTTAAATGTTGATAATCCAATCACACAATATGATAACGTTCTATTTGCAGATTATGCATAATGCCTGCGTTTTAAAGCCTCTAATTCGTCGCAATTGGGCATTTTCATCGACTTTGCTCTTTCCATTTTCGCAGTATCATAAAAAAACCATCCAGCCGCATCACGGATAAGTTTATCTCTCTTCATCTCTTCCTGAAGACATCTATGACTCAGATTTCGAACATATGTATTCTCAACGTTATCTTCGAGTCCGTGTAGTTTCCGTGGTTGCTGCTCGAGTCCTCCGAAAGTTTTCGGATTGACGTAGTATTTGACTCGTAGTAGATTAGTATATCGTTCTTGAGTGTATGGTGGTATTTGTCGTAGAGAAAACTCGGGTAATGGATCATGTGGCGGCACGAATATATTTGATGAGATGGAAAAAAGAAAGAGAAGTAGTAGAGGTAATAACTGAAGGAAAGTAACCCAGCCAGATGGCGCATGTGTATCATTTCCGTTTGCTGATCTTCGACCAGGTGGATACCGTCGAGCAGGGAATCCCGGACTGACAAACGTAGCCGAATGAAAACCTGTGTAAAAGTCAGCACGACGTAAGCAAACGTTAAAAATAATAAACATTGGAACACCAAGACTAGTGGGCTACATCTATTACACGACAATTAAATGATAACTGTTGACTCACTCAAATCTCCATTAAAGAACATGTTGAAGAGCTCTTCCGGCGTTAATTCTACTGGACCATTCCCAAATGCAGAAGAGGCCCTGGCATACGCACGCGATTGCATCCTGGCAGAGCTTGAATCTGGATCGGAACCGTTCGCATCAAAGATCGCTCGTTTTTGGGGATCGCTTAGTACTTGAAATGCTTTGCTGACCACTGTAAGATGGGCAGTGATAAAGTTTTGTTAGCCTTCATTAAGTATATTCTTGTTTAGATGTCTAAAGACAAACGCACACATACTTTTGAATGCTTCATCCGCTCCAGGTGCACCATTCTTATCCGGGTGCATTTGTAATGCAAGCTATAGCCGTGTAAAAGTAAATGATCAATTCTGTTTCTTGGGTAATTCTAAAACATTTAAGACTTATACATAACGTACAAATGAAAATTGGTCTGCATGGTATAAAGTTGTTGCAGTTAGACCAAGAGTCCTGTACCTTCCTGTATGCCCTTTTGATTTCTGCTTCACTTGCATCTCGACTTATTTCTAACACTTCGTAATAGTTGGAGCTGCCACAGGCCCTGATCCGTTTTACTGCTTCTGATTGTTCAGTCGTATAGTCTCTGCTTTGTCTTCCTTGTTTATGTTCTCTCGACGTGGACGAGCGGGCTGTTGGCTTCTCCATGATCGACGACACATAAATATTAAGACTCTATAACAATTTCAATAACTAGTCAAGTGTATGTGGTCGGTTAACTCTTTATGTCCAGATGAAAAATACGAGGGCTGTATTCGAATGTGTTACGAGCAACGTCCACTCCGATCCAAACACATCACCAAAAACTTTCCCATTGGGACATTATTTATTTATTCACGTATTATTTTATATTATTTATTCACCGTATGAGCAGTTTAAATAACTATAATATTTTATTGATTACAAGTTTCTCCGAATATAAACTTTCCCATCTGTTTCATTGCTTTTTTCTCTGCACCATTTCTTGCAAGTGACCATGCGACTGCATAGTTATGCACATTACCTTTCTCGACTACTATTTCTGTACTAACGCCGTCCTCATTTGCTTTACGTGCGAATGCAACTACATCATCTCTAAATACCTCGCAGTCACCTACGCACATCCACATGCGCGGCAATCCATGAAGACTTTTCTCGAACAATGGCGATACGGCACCATCATCTTTTTTGAGATTCGTGCCTCGAAGGTAGCATTGAGCGCGTGCGTCAAGCCAATAATCACTGATATAATCAAATTCAGAGTTTAGTTTCCATGACATGGACGTAGACAATCCTGAGACAAAAGGTGATATTCCTAATATGCAGCTTGGCGGAGGTACAGCTAGTAAAGTGGGGTTCTTAATTATATGTAAGGCTGAAATAAGGACAAGGTTTCCTCCAGCACTGTCGCCAGCTAAAAGAAGCGCGCAAACCACGTGAGTAGATTATCTTGCAGCGGCCGTTACAGATGATGATACTAACCAAAAGCTATTCGAGATGGATTAATGCCCTTCTCGTGCACCAGCCACTGGTAACATTGTACGAACGTGTTCCGTTGACTAGGAAATGAGTGTTCCGGCGTTAATCCTGGAAAAGACGTGCGACCGTGAGAAGCAAAGTTTGGGCTTTTATAAAATAATAAGAGCAATCACTTGTGATATAATACCGTAACTGACTGACACTATATGAGTGTTGGCGTCATGGGTTGTCTTCCAGTATTTGATCCATCGAACGAATATGGCAAATGTCACCATTGGATGTCCCAGGGTGTACCCTCCACCTGGATAGAACTTGTTAATCTAACAGTCTTATTATTATTTCTAAATATCACCAAGTATTTACTTACCATGTGCATATAGAACAACAACATCCGCATTCTCTCCAACTTCAACGTCATTTGCGTTTTCGGTTATTAAATACGCTTTCCATTTACCTCCTTCTCCTTCAATCTGTCTTGACCAGTCTTTCGTCCTAATTGGACCATACATCAACTGATCCATGTATCCGACCATTCTGAACACCACCCTAACGATTTGAAGGGGTAGTAAATCAGAAAATGCCTTAATTGTCGTTGCTAGTATCCTCTGCCATAGATTAGGATAACAACGACCGGTGCTATCACAAACAAAGATTGATGTGAAGTGTTCGAATACGACACAGGGAAGACGATAAGCTAGTGATTATCGTTGAAAATGCAAGATTTAGTATAAATGTAATCGCACGCGCACATATGAGCAGTCAAATTGTACCTAGCACAACGAAAAGGTTTACAAACGCAAGCATGTCGAAACAATCAAGCGAACCTTGCGGTGAACTTAGAATGGAGCTGGGTGATTAAATAATATATATGAGCGATCATTATAAAGAAGGAAAGGATAAATTCTAACGTCCCCGTGCTTACATGTGAAGTCTAAGGATAGGCCAATCAACTTCCTTGAAAATATTTCAGGGGCTGCACGTCACGAAAAATGACAGCTCTGTTTGTTAATGATTCAAAAAAATCAGGAGCAACAAAATAGTCTTAACCTTATTCTCGAATGCTTCCCAGTTTATCCCCAACATTGTTTGACAGTCATGACAGCCAACAGTAAATGTTCGGGGCTGCGTTTTTCTAAAAAAATTGCTAGCATAATGACACGACATTGTATTTTATTATGAAATATAAGCTTTTCCCATGCCAGGTTAAAACCAACAATGAATAATAATAAAATAAAAACTAGAGTATTCCTATGGGAGGAAAAATGCTCGGATTAAAAGCCATAACATATTTCTTTAAATAACATTTGCGTATTTAAATGTTATTATTATTCCTAATATGAATAATAAATACATCGCAGTCATCGATTTTTTATTCTTGTCTTTAATGCTTTGTTGTTTCAGTACCCGCAAGTTTGCGCATCAGTTCTAATATGACGTTTTTCAAACCTGCTTGAGAGCAACCTCCTTTCCCCAATTTTATTCAAAAGGGTCAACTGCAAAAAATAGTAAAGGTTATCTAGATCAGAAAATACAGACTTCATGTGCGTTTGACAGCTCATAAGTTTAGTCTAGAATAATACATCGGCTACCTATATTTGAATTAGTTTGCAGAATTTATTTGCCCATTCGTCCGCTTTATTCTTCAAACGTCGTTCCCTTCCTTTAGCTTCTCCGCAAGTCCCAAATTTCCAGTTTACTCTTCAACACGGTTTTTACTTTTGCATTCTTCAGCGCTTTGCTGTTTGTTACTAATATAATAATCTAACATCAATGACATATCATTGTAGGCAGTATGAAGTGACTAGGGAGACTGATACACACATAACTCGTATATTAATTACTAATTTACTTGTTTTCAAGAAAAATCAAAATCACAATGTTGTTAAACGACACGACAATTTTTATCAACCCGTTATCTAAGAAAAGAAAATACAAATTTCTTTTTGGAGCATTGTGTTGGCTTTATTTTAAACTCCCGGGTTAATTAAAACAATATAATTATAACCTAACCAATACAAATGTATCAGCGAACATAGTCGCTTGTCAGACATCAAACGATCTAAGGCAATTCTACGGCTGAAGAACCACATTACGTCTGAAATTTATTTAACAAGGAGCATTCGAAATCCATAAATTATTCGACAAACCCTAACTCAATAGTAGCAGACTATGGGCTAAAAAAATTATATTGTGTTATAAAAAACCGTAATAACAAACGTCAGTTATCTATAGCATCTACTACGAATAACACAAGCGATACCTTACCCAAGCTGTAAATTTTATTATAAATTATTTAAATACGTCTCTTCTTTATCCTTTTTCTTCTTATCTTTTAATGGAAAACAGGGCTACATAATTATTTAAAAATTAAATTGTTTTCTGTTCTCTGGTCAACATTTTCACTCATCAACCATTGTCGATTTTTTAGTTAATTTTGGCCTTCTAAAGTTTCCATAGTTTCTTACTTATGCTTAATCGGACTCAAGTCAGGGTTATTTGTTAATCCGCAAGTTTTTTAAGGTATGTCGCAAATTGGGAGGGTACTTGTATGATTCGAGTTGAGCTTTTGATGTAACTATTCACAATGTTTGATATAAACGTTTTACTTTCATTATTATTATGACAGTAATATATTTTAGACAGTCTTATCTCTATATAAAATATTAACACAATACTAATTTACATCAAATTTATCATGAAATGGGGCATACTGCAACAAAACCAGACAAAGTGAACGTTCTATAAATGAGTGGCTGTAAAATTGACCAGCATGACTGATGACGTTTTGAAAAGTAATAATGGTGCTCATTCATAACTTATGGACTTGTTAATTTTAATGCTCACTTTATCATACCAGAATGTGATAAATATAAACCTTAATATAGGATTATCTTTATATAAAAATATTAACATGAAACTAATTTACTTCAAATCCACTATGGAACCCAAGAATTACAGCACTATTAGAAGCATTCTTAAAAAAGCTCAAGGAGAGAAAATTGCACCATATGTTTTCAAAATCAATGATACCCAAACTCTCCAGGAATATCTGGATAAAGAAAAATTCACTTATAAAATTTATCAAGCGGGAAAGGAAAATTATAACTAATAAACACCAACACATGATGAACCAAAAAAGAAGCAAAACTTGAAGAGACAGAAAGGAAAGCAGTTTAACGTAAGCTTCCCACTATCGCTCTTCCACTGATCGTGCGATCTATCATTGAGAGATTGTTCCCTATAGTCCTGATAAAGACTGCTTAAGCGCATCCATTGAGCATTTTGCTTTTTAACACACTTGCCAAACAATGTAAAAATGATTCAATTTCTTCATAAGCATAAATTTTATTATGTTAATTATTGAATGCACGCTCTTGAAAATATAAATATTGTTAAAAGCACCAGAGTGATTGCATGGGAGGAAAATACTCGGACCCAAAGCCATTGATGAGTATAACCTATTCTTTGGTCACTCTGGTGCAAGTTTAAATTTCATTATCTTCTTTATCACTACTATTAATAGTATTGTCACTATCATTTATTTCTTTAATTTTAATTTCTTTAAGGTTTTATCTACCTCTCAAATTATTTTGAGGGCTCCAGCAATAGAAACTGCATAACTTAGAAGGGTTAAAAAGTGTTTATTTCAGAATAATTAGTTAAAATACCAACCACTGCTAACAATCCAAATTTTTTTAAAAGTCCATTAACTTTTTGGGTTTTGGAAAGCAGTGATATGGGCGAATATTATGATAAAGATATTCTTGTCCTTTGTAATCTAAAGGAGGCAGAGTTAGAACTAAAATGGAAAAAGATTTAAGTTCTTTGGTAATTTCCGAAACATTTGCTTTTCTAGTTTTTAACAAATTAAATTCAGTAAAAGTACCATTAGCAACCAACTGAGCTTTGACAATTCCAGGTTGGGCCGCTTCGAATACAAAATGCTGATATTTTTGCAAGCCACTAAATTTTTTTAAAAAAAAAAATCCTAACACGGAATTAAAATCTAAATACTGAAAGCCTTTGCCATTTTCATAGCACTGAGCTTTGTTTAATCCTGCTGTACTTGATTTTTTGACAACCTCAACAATATGATTCACACAATCTACCGTTGTTTTTCGGTAAAGTTTTTTAATTAATCCAAAATTACCATCACACTTGAATTTAGTATGTCCAGGTATCATGAAATTTAATTCAATACTTTCATAATAACCGCAAATTATTAAATACAGGTAAAATCAAATAGTGACATTATTTTTATTCTGTTCTCCTGCATTATCACAAGTAATCTTCAAATGCGTTTTGCCCTTTATTCAATCTCTTAATTCCATCGAATACCATGCTCAGTGTACCATTAGGGCCTTTGCCGATAATTTCGTCTTCATCGAGAGCATAATTAATTTGTTCACGTACTGCTTCATCTTGAATACCAAATAAATGCACTTTCCGCGGACTGAGGTAATAAAATTTACTTACTTGTTGGTCAGAATGGGGTATGTGAACATTTTGTGCTCAATCATAACTGTAATGAGCAGTGGCCTCAATGCTACAATAATCAGCTTTACCTCCTGTTACAACGTAGTTATCATCTACCAATTTTCTCTGTTGCTCTGCTAATTTCGTATTTTTGTTGTAATAGTTTCTTTCTGACTTAGCTTTAACTAAATGTTCTTTGAATTTTTTCAATAAATCTTTCGCTTCTTCTTCCTTACGAGCATTATACTGTAAGCCGTTCCGAAAATGTTGGCACGTGTCGCATAAATCCGTTCTTGGACTTATGATTGGAATATAAGGCGTTAATTGGTGCCACAACTTGCGGAACGCATCATATTTTAACAATTTCAATGTGCTATCATTTTCGAGACCTGCAATGAAATCATGATAGACTGATTTATAACTCGTTTCGGCTGGCAATAGTGTAAGCGATTGAGTAATGCGGTTGACATTTCTACCAGGACTTGGTAGTCCATGAATTTCAGCATAATTTTCGAGAAAATTCTTCACGGCGGTAGCAATGATTATATCAATGGTTATTTTGGTTTTTCATCGCGGTACTTTTTTTACGTTACCATGAACGCGCGGTATTATACCATTCGTTGCTAGATGATTTCTGACGTTTTCGAAGTGCGTGCGGCCAATTCCTAACATATTGAGATAAGTTTTTTGGCAAAGAGGCGTATTGCGATCTCAACAATAAAAAGTTCTTTTATTAGTACGCGTTTTCTTTTTAAGACGTCGACTGGCAGTTATTTCTCCGCCATTCATTGCTTTTAGTTGGGCCATTAAAAATGTCTTGTTCGGATCTTGAAAACGATGTGAATATTTATACATGATAGATTTCTTAAAACGAGTTCAAGTTTTGAAAAAACTGTCATATTTAGTAATAAATATCTATTATCATCCAATTTCTCGATGGAATTTTGTTAAAATAAGAAATATCCTATGGCAAAACTTGTCTCAAAGCGAATGTAAAAGTTTACGATTATGAACGCCGGTCCGTTGGGAAAGAAAATCGACGCTATTATTATATTACGTGAAAAGAGGGAAAAATTTTCAGTCATTGAAGCACCGATGAAAGACTGGTGGTCGCTTTTCGGTTGAAGATTGCGGTACTAAACCCGCGTTCTATAATACATTGGTCAAGCTACGCGGATTGCAAGCGTTTTGTAAGTTTTACTGTTAATACTTTCGTTCATGTTTGTTATCATGCGATTGCTAACTCTTAGAATGTACTGTATAGTAAATTAGATTACTATATATGAGTTTCAGCTTAAATTCATTCTATGAGGCCAATATTAAATTTTAACATAGCCAAAACCATAATGGGCGTTTTGAAGTAGGACGTTTGTATAAGTCATGATTAACAACTGAATTCTAACGTATTTAAAAGGAACAAGTATAGGAACCACAATTAAGCGCCAAATCGATTCAATGGAATGTATGTGGAGAAGATGAATCATGTGAACGAATGACGACTCGCTCCTGCTAAGCATACAACACGAGTATTTTAGTAATCTTTTATTATTAACTTATTTCGCCATTCAGTTGTTTTTCTCGGTCAAAGGCAATTTTCATTTTTCTCGCTAATTAGTTTTCTTTTCTGGCGACTTCTTTTTCTACGAAATCAACATTTCAACCGTTGGATTTGATTGTTATTTTTCGCGTTTTATTTAGAGAACTTTTTGAACTACTAAATTCTGGAACTTTACAACTTTGCACGTTCGAACTTGATAAAATTATACCGGACAGCCAACCATTTCTATTACCCTCAATCGATTTGAAATGCTCTGTTTTCGCTGATACTATTGCAAAGAGTCATTTAACACCTCTCCTGCTTGCGTCGTAATTGTTCATTTGTACGCTTGTTGCTACAATTTTACGTAGTACTGGTCTGGTCCTGGAAGCGATGATTGTTCGAAGAACGCTACATATGAACGTACATATGTAACACAAACTATTGCAGTAGTTCTAAGCTCTCCAATTGACTACAACATGTGGTAGAGAGTAATTTGAATTGAATAAAACAGTTATAGCATGCCTACGTACTGATGCTGAATCAATGCGTTGTTATAGATTTCTCAGTTGTTTGTTACTCATCAAAGACGTGAGTCACTCATAGCTGCTAACGAAATTTCCGGCGATATCAATAGGATAACATAGTTTCGTCTAATACTTACTGGAAATTTGGTTCACCCATAGAAAACTTCGTTCCAGGAAATTCCGAGCCCCTAACCACAAGTTCGCTGTCACTCTATGCAATCCTGCCATTTTAGTCTTAGGAGAATAGGGGACAATAACTACGGCACATAAGGGGGGTTAGTGTAAACCAAATCCCACAATCATGGTTTTTAGAAGTCATTTGAGAGAACTTCGCGAACGCTTCAGAGAACAGAAATCGGTTCATGAAATCATTCGGAATATCGCATCAAAAAACGGGCTTGATCCATTGTCGCATGAATTTGCTCTATATCTCGATGATAATGATGAGTTGAAGCACTTGCGAGAAGAATTTTCATTTCCCAAAGTTAGTGAATGTGTCCCCAAGGACGTAGGTAAGCATGTAAAGAAGTATTTGGGCTACTACTAAAGATTATGCAGTCATAAATGGCACTCGTTATTAGTTCCTATTATATCAGAAGAGGAAGCTGTTTATTTGAGTGGAAATTCACTTGGTCTACTCCCGAAGCGTACACGAAAGCTGATCAATGAAGAGCTTGATGTTTGGGCGACATCGTAAGCTAATATACTACTCTTTGTCTTGTCTTTTTGATTTGCGCATTCCTTATGAGAATCCCGAGGGATATCTCTAAAGGTGTTTATATTTATTTGTGAATTATATCAATGAATTTAGAGCCGTCGCGGCCCACTTTAACCACAAGTTTGGTCGAAATTGGGCTAATATTGAAGATCAAGTAATTAGCAAGCTTACCGGGATTGTTGGTAAGTAACAAGCCATCATATAATCTTCAATAACAGCGTAGTAATATGTTTCCTTTCACGGTTAGGTGCAAAGCCAATCGAAATAGCTGTGATGAATACGCTGACGTCCAATATACATCTTCTGCTGGCCTCATTCTACACGCCGACTCAATCGCGGTTCAAAATCTTGATAGAGGAAAATTCGTTTCCCTCTGATAGAGTAAGTTTCGTGACCTTTAACGTTTAATCAAAAAAAAAAAGTATACTACATTGTTGTGTTATAGTATGCACTAGAGTCTCAGATCAAGTTCCATGGATATCTTCTTGAAGCTGCACTAATCGAGATAAAGCCACGACCGGGCGACATTACACCTGAGATTGAAGACGTTCTTAGTGTTATTGAGAAAGAGGGTGATAGCATCGCATTAGTATTCATGGAGGCAGTTAACTATCACACTGGACAATTATTTGATATCCCAAAGATTACAAAGGCAGCTCAGAAGAAAGTAAGGCATAATCTACCCTTGTGCTTTGTTTTTACGCTGTATTATGTTCATGTATCGACCGCCGACAATTGGATAGGGTTGCATCGTTGTATGGAATCTTGCGCATGCGATCGGGAATGTTGAACTAAAACTTCACGACTGGAACGTCGATCTTGCTGTCTGGTGTTCGTACAAGTACTTAAATTCGGGTCCGGGTGGGATAGCCGGAATTTTTGTGCATGAAAAACACGCATTTGAATTTGACAGACCGAGGTAAATAGTAATATTTGTAAATACCAATTCTTGTATTGAACTTATTTAACATGTCATACTGTGCAGATTTGCCGGCTGGTGGGGTCACAATAGAGAAACGAGGTTCTTGATGAATAAGTGTGAGTACTTGTGACTTTTCGTGGAGAAAATTGCTCTACAAAGATCTTTCCGCTTATTCCGTAATTCTGATATCAGCTTTCCAGCCAATACCTGGAGCAAAAGGTTTCCAAGTTTCCAATCCCTCTGCTCTTGACATGGTCGCTTTGTATGGCTCACTCGAAGTATTCTCTCAGACAAACATGTCTGACCTTCGCCATAAGTCATATCTATTAACCGGTTATCTTGAATTTCTTCTCGACGAAAACCTCCACGGAATTGGATACAGGATAATTACGCCTCGCAATCCTCACGAACATGGCGCGCAATTGTCGATCATGTTTGACGAATTAAAGGCAGAGGAAATTATCAACGCGTTATTAATTCGGGGTATTATATGTGATGAAAGAAAGCAAACCGTTCTTAGAGTTGCTCCCGCCCCTTTGTACAATCGCTTTTCCGATGTATATAAATTTGTCAATGCTTTGAAAGCTGTATTGTTGGAAAAGTAACTTTTCAGGAGAGTAGCATCTAAATATTATTTAAAAATAGGGACGTATTTATTACATAATGTCGTTAACAGCATATAATAAATTAAACAGCTTATTAGCTATTGTTATTATAATAGTTGTGGATTATTGTATATTTTGGCGTAACGTCCTAATGCCCAAATTGTAAACGCAAATTTGTAATTTGGATACGAAATCATACAGTTCTTGTTGAATACACCCTCGATGGCTTCTTGAAGCCATTCACCATTCGCCTGCTGTCTGGACATGATCAATTTAATGCCGCGGCGAATGGGTTCTTCATGTGGATATCGAGCTGACATTAGCGCTAAAAGTGCCATTGCCGTATTGACGACTTGGGATTCGGGATGTTCTACGTACTTATTTGATTCACAGGACTAAGTTCGAATGAAAGAAAAAAAATGACATGAAGAGATTATAAACAAAAAAGTTAGTATGTGCATATGCGAAATTCTAATCGCAGCAAATCAAGAATACCTTGTATGATTCACCCCAACCACCATCTGATTTTTGCTTTGAGACGAGAAAGTCACAACCTTTCTTAGAGGCCTCACTACCAAATATGATTAAATTAATATATAAATGTAGCACATACATTCATCATGCTAATGTCCATACCTGTTATCATAGAATTCTCCAATATTAGCCAGACTTTCCAAAGCAAACATTCCAGCGTATGTGTAGCAAATGGCCCAAGAACCATACCAATCCCCATCTTCTCCTTGGGATTCCTTTATGAAATTTGCTGCCTTTTCGCAGACACTAATGATTTCATGTGCTCGATAGTCCGGATGGTGTTTTCGGAATATACATAGGGCCGTCAATACGGAAGTAGTACATTCGGGATAACTGTACTCAACCATTATCTTCCCGAATACTTCAGCTGGATTAATCCATTCTAGAATCTTTGGAGCACGTACTAGTTCGTAGCTAGCGAATCCACCGTCCGCATTCTGCATAGTTAGTAGAACATCGACGGCATCGTATAGGCGATCTTTTGACACTAGTTCTTTTGTGTAGCTGTAACAAGAAGAGGTAGGTCTTTAAGTCCACGGCCATAATGTGTATTTGGGACAAGAATGCTTACCTCAATTCAGTCTGTAAATATATAACGGATTTCAATCCTTCCGCTGTGCAATCAGATACCGTGTATCCTTGATGACGCGTACTGAATGGCCATGCACCTTTCGAGCAATGTCGATAACTTCTTTCCATTTCAGAAGCATTACACCTTATTTGACAATCGTCTATAAATTCTAGGGCACGAATCATTGACTCGTGATTTTGTGGTTCTTTCGCGAGCCCTTTGTGTAGTATCATGTATATTAGTTGTAATACATATTAATAGATCGTTATGTTCAAGGCATATATATTCTGATACCTGACTCAACCATTGCCTGTACAATGAATGCAGTGTCCCATAATTGACTACCATTTGTTCCATTCATCATCATTCCTTCCTTGCTTAGCCTGATCAAATATCCTTCAGTAAAAGTAGGAAATGGGGTTCATAATTATGTTTGATTTAAACGTACCACATGAAATCAATAAGTCTTTCTTTGGACTCTTGAAACGCTGGTGACTCTGGCCCTTCTTCGAAATACGCACAAAGGAGATTGATAGCCTTATTAACCTGGCAAGTATGACGAATATAAGATGTTATCTTACCAATGTAATTAATGGCGACTTCCATTAAATGCTTACCGGACCAAGATCAAGGTAAAATGTGTTTTTATCTTCGAGTTCTATAAGTTTATAACTTTCTTTAATCGCCATATCACGAAGCCCAATCAGATCTGGTAATTTTTCGTAGACTCCCAGGACAACTTGTAGAACATCATCATTATTGTATGTTTTCACCAACGTTTAAATGGCGTAAACTTCAGAAAATTAACTTACAATTTAAAGCTTTCAGTATTTTTGTATGTGAAACATACATATCAGCTTGAGCAACATTGCCTCTTTGACCACTCCAATGTATAGATTCATACGGCTGAGTGTAAAGTTCTTGCCGTAGAGATTTGATAAGTGGATTCACATCGGCCGATAAACGTCTACCGTACATATATCCCATTGGAAGATAGACATTACGTGTATGAACCCAAAATCTTCCTGGGTGAAATGGAAACCAGTAAGGAAGCAGCCTTAAAAGTAAAAGGAGCCAGGTGAGCTATAGAAGTACTGTTACTAATATCTCGATTTCACCGAATAATTGATATTCACCAGAGTTCAGGTGGGATCGGATTAAGACCATCCCAATCGTAACAGTTCAAAACAGCAAGCCAAAATTTTCCCCACGATGGAATTCCGGTAGCACCGCCTACGATAATTTATTAGACGCAAAGTTCATATACCACGACTTGTATATGATCAAGTTTCTCAGACGGCCCACAAACCTACCGAGTTTATGCAGCGTAGCTCTTGCCTTGATTAGAACTGGATGGTCAGCATCGACGCCAAGCAGCCTGAGCACTACATAATTCAATGCGGTACCAAATACTGTCGAATGTCCTTCGATGTGTCTGCAATAACATCCAAATATTCCAAATTTATACACTACACAAAATGTCAACTATAAATAATCGCGCATTTCATTTCACTTACAAACCCCATCCTCCGTCTTCAGGATGTGCGCGATTGAACAGATACTTCACAATCTCAATCTTCCACTCTTCAGGCACTGGCAATTTCGTGACATACATCGAAATGACTAAACCAGGAAGCAAGAACATTGGACCGCCATATTCGCCAGCCCAATGCCCATCTTCCGTTTGGAGCTGTTTATAGAATTCAAATCCATTACGGGCTGCATCAAGAGCTGTTTTTGCAGGTGGGAATGTCTCTGATGGCTGACAAAAATACAAAAAGTCATTATTAATCCGTCGTAAAATTCAGCAACTTGCCTATATTATAGTTTCATCATACCACTTCCATTCCCAGCCAGTACATGCCCGCTTTCGTCTGCGGCCATTTTTCCGATTCTTCGACACTTTTTAAGTAATGCCATGTCTGTCGTCCATGTTCTGATCGTAATCGCCATCGCTTTGGATCGGTCTCTCCTAAAGGGTTTGGATACGTCATCAGAACAGCGAAGAATGGGGATGTGATCTAACGTATTAAAATGCGTGTAACTCTCGTGAATTGTAATAGTGCACGAGTTAATTTTCTTTTCTGTGCTGTTTAGCAGAGAAACAAAAAGACTCTCGAGCATACAGAAGCGTATTTATGATAAGTCTGCCACTACGGACATTCTTCGGCCTAAAGCCATAATCATAAAGGATTAGCATTCCAATCTCGGGCTTTTCCTTTGCAGAGCTTTCCCAAAGGACAAAGTGATCAACATTATTATGTCGTGACACATGGAGTTGACATATGTTCTTAACATTAATTTATACCGTATTCCGAAAATAAGCAACACTTTTTTGTTATAGCGTTGCTTATTTTCAGGTAGTATAAGAAATATTTATTAATTTTTCCGAAGCGTTGCTTATTTCGAAAGAATACGGTATTTCTAAATTTTCGCTCTCTTTAAATGACTTACTAACAAAATGCGCGCATACTCGAATCGAGATTCTTATCCATTTAATAAGTGAACATGTGACATCCCAGTTATTTTACGTTCGAGCTGGTTTTTGCTGCATGCAGCATGCCCTATATTATATACAGTTTGTTAAAAACGAAATAGTGTCCCGGCGTATGAACCAAATTTCATGATTTATGATTTATCTGTGAACTAAAAAGTAACAGATTTTATTAATATCAATGACTATTTAATAAGAGATTCGCTCTCCCCTATTTACGATAACATTTTTTCATGGATTCTACAAGATATTAGAGTAGTTTCTGGAATATCCTCTATCATAAAGCGCTCCAACTCTTGAACATCCGCTTCTCCATTTTAGTCCAAAGATTTTTGATGGGACGCGTTCGTAAACTCCCGAAACAAAACAAACACGTGTTCCCTTAGCACAAACTTTCTCGCAGGCAAAATTTTTATTTTGTCTTTCAGTATAAGGCGAATCAATCGGTTTGTCCTTATGCCAATGCTATACTATGTATGGCGGAACAGCTGAAAGGCTGTTTCTTTTTACAAAAAGGGGTTTCTTCCGGTTGCCATTAATGTACGCTTGGGCTCACTTTACCCGTTTCCGCTTATGGTTGTCGGTAAGCATTGACGTATCTAATGTCGTTCAAATGCTTTGCGACTGACCCGTTTTAATATTGACGTCAATTTTTGCATTGTGCATGTATTTCAACACCATTGTGTTCCGCAAGTATAATATCGAAGCAGTCATTATGTGCAAGTTTTTCTTTGTCGCGAACAGCATTTCATATTATCCCACGTTAGGTTCATTAGGTCGGAAACTATTTGCAAATTATATAAACGCGTTTTCTTAACAACTGTATATGGAACATCAACTTGCGTTTATTTTGATATGCTTTATAAAATTACTGGCTTATTTGCCATAAAATGCGTTTATGCTCAGTTGAAAGGTTTTAAAGTCGGTGTATTTTTTTATGAGCCCCCGTCTCTCCAGTAACTGAGGCGAAAAGAAACTACATAACATTTAACGTTTTAAAATTCCTGAAAATTTTGCAAGTTCAAAAAAAGAACCATCTTTGTTTCGCTCCTTACTTGCTACTTGTAAAAATGAGGCGTTTATTAATTAATATTTAATAGTAATGTCAATGCATATTGGTGGGAGAATTTTAAGCGCCACTGACATATCACATGATATTAAATTTTCGAAGTGCACCATACCCGATACCCAGATATTCTCTGATTGGTTAGACGTTCACTTCCCATCGTGATAAAAATAGTACGGCAACAGTGAACGAACAAAGCAACTTTTGACCCAACATGACAGTGATACACGTTGGTAAGCAGCATGGGTTTTACTCGTAATTTGTGAACGCTGGATGTTCCGACTTATATATATGAATCTCTTGTAGTCTTACTTAAATTTAAGGTATTTGCGGTCCTTAGACTATGGATTACAGTGTGAATTAGACAATATTAATAACAGCTCCACATCCGACGCACTAATTCAAAAGTCCGATGCGAACGAAACAGCAATAAATGAAACGCTTTCAGAAGCGATAGAGCTGAAAAATAGTATTCCAGGAATTTTAAGATATTCGGGTAAGATTGTCTTGAAGATGCCACGCAAAAACTCGCTTCAATTAACTGTCTTGTCATTTGGCAAAAGCGGGTAGCAATTTTTCTAAACGCGGCCAAGGCTTTACTCACGGTATGTTCGAATCTTGACTGCCTTTGATATTGCCTCAGCGTAGCTAATCCCTTTGCTTGTAGGACTTGTTGTTGAGTTTGAAGGCAAACAGGTAAGGAATGAGAGGGTTCTGAACGTTTCTTAAGAGCATGTTAAATTGATTCGTGACATTATAGGAGCTGGAAGCATACTCGGGTCACCCCATACATGTACAATACAAACAGAATTATATTGCAAAATATGTGGAAGGTAAACCGTGTTCTGTCGTCTTGCATTCTCCGATGATAATATTTTAAGTTCTAGCGTTTTGCTTGTATTTACATAGACATCATAGCCTTTGATATGGAACTATAAATCATCAAATTTGTCAAAAACGAAGGCCGCTTCGTGACTGACTTGTAGTAAAAGAATAAATTGTCGGTTTCAATATTAATATGATTTTTAATAATGGAAAAATGACCGATTTAAATCAACATCTACAGATCTTTTTGTTCGTTGATCTTCAACTCCGCAAGTCAAAAGTGTAAATGTGTACAGCCAGCTTCACGTGCATGTTTGACTGCGCATCGCACTTGACTACTGAAATCAGCAGACTTGATACTTTTGATTTCGTCAGTAATTGTTTCACGCTCCGCAGACATCCCAATAAAAAACAGGTCTTATTTAAATCAAGTTTTCTGTCGTTAAGATCACTTTGCAAAGTTCATAATAAGTTTTCAAATTCAAAAAACGTGGTACTACTATCGTTAGACCAATATAATAACATGTAAGAATCCCCTCCGATCAGCCCGCGTTTGACTCACAAACATTCGTCCAGACTTTGTCTTCTGCTAAAAAAGGCGTTACCTCACCATGGTAAGACTGTAACGGATCATTTTCATTCGGGTCCATTATAAGTCTATAATAGTTTGACGCTTCCCCCCAACAACTACTGCTTTTCGGGTAAACGAGCGCTTTCAGATGTCTAATGCACGTTTATCCTGGAATGCAATACAATACTCGTAACGATGCTTTACGAATGACCCCACTTAGCCTTAGTTAAAATAGTACCGTCTGTTTCGTTTACTTCTGGCTTGTACTAATATTGCTAAGTAATATTATTATTAGCAAAGCAGTAAACTGTTTTGGTAGAAATGTTGATTGTCCGCATTTTAGGTGGATATCAGCCAATCAGGTATCCGGATTCGGTTAAATTAATTAGAGTTGAACAACAACATCCATTTGCAATCTTGGATAAACATGGAGACTAATTTAACTGCAGTGACAATAAGCGAGCTCGGAAGTACTATGACGGTTGGGAGCTTCGGACAGGAATATGCTATCCTAAAATTGAGCTCAACAGAAGATAAATTTGTAAGATTTGTCCATCTCCACGACTCGAAAATGACTGTCTTCATCGGTTTTGATATAAGCGGACGGTTAATCGAATGTGAAAGTGAAGAAAATGCTATCTGTGCAGTTGACCTTGTTAGTTAACTATGAAAAATCATGAATTCGTTAGTATTGCGATTATTTGAAAGTAACCAATCGACTTTTTTGTTAGATCTCTGATAAGACGGAGCAACTGGTCGGATACCTAAGGGATTTCAAGAAAGCTAGTATAAAGATGCAAGCATGTTCAATCCAGGCACAGCGTGTATGTTTAGGAGAGTCTGCAGAACTTGGTGTACACAAAAATGGACTGCTGCACGGTAACCGCTTTTTTTTCTTTGCTCCATGGTCAAAAGAAAATATATTCATAAATTTCCTACACATATCAGAAATGAATTTTGCTATCGTACGGCGGAGTTTAGTAAGTAATATGCGCTTTTATATTTGTTTGCATTTAACGACTTTTTGCTAATCCTGCACTGTCTAGAATGCCATGGACGAACTAGCGATCCCGGATTCGCTGTCGAGAAAATATGATATTTTCAGCGATAAACTCGGCCGGTAAAGTCACTTCTTTCCTCGATTTTTCAATATAAATATTTAGATTATTTACATGTTATGACTGTTCGGACCTATAGCGGTGCCACTTGCACAGTATATCCAGCCACATGTAAAACGACGGAAGTTCAGTATGCCGTGAAGCGCGCTGAATACCACGAGCAATTTGAGAATGAAGCACGCATATTGTCCAAATGTGACCACGAAAACATTATCCGATTCATTGAAATGGAACGAACGCAGCATCACCTGTGGCTTGTCTTTGAAAGAATGAGTTGTGATTTAGGAGAATACGTAAATGGCAAGGGAAGGCTGCCAGTACATGAGGCACGTAGATTTGCAAAACAAATATGTGGCGCTCTGGATGTAAGTGTGTACTTAGTAACAAAACTATGTAAAATTACTTCATGTAGCCTTACCTAAAGTTTCAACTTACTTATATAGTACTTGCACGCACGCAACATCATACATCGAGATTTGAAATTGGAAAACGTTTTAATTGATGGAGAGCATAAGACTGTCAAGTTAGCAGACTTTGGATTTTCGAAATATTGTTCGAATACATTGAAGTCGTTTGTTGGCACAGAGCCATACATGGCACCGGAAATGCTCGCTATATCTGATATAAGTGGATACACTACAAGTGTGGACATGTTTGCTTACGGTGTGCTTGTATATTTTATGTTGGTTGGATGTCTCCCGTGGTTTGATAAATGTGAGATGGGCTCTCGGCGATTCTTCCAGAAAAGAGCAATAGCAAATTACAAACCTCTAATGGGGAGTTTAGATATTGTACAATTTCTTCAAGGATTGATAGAACTCAAACCTGAAGCCCGAATGACGGCTAAAGAAGCACTGAATCACAAGTTTCTAAAGGTTAGTCGGTTTCATGGAAAATTTTTTTGTTTTCCTCCAATAACCATCAAATTTCTAACTGAATTTGTAAAGGTTGATGTGACAATACTCTCCAGCACGAACGAAGTATCGGACAACACAGTTCCGGTACTTCAATGGAGAGAATCACGTACCATTGCACCAACGGGAGTATATTATCCAGAGGTAAATTCACGCGTCTATGTAAAGCCCGAGGCATCAGAGTTACTAACAACTTGCGTAAAGCAAGAGGTTGAATCTACTATACTAACAACTCCTGTAAAGCAAGAACCTAAAACTGAGATGCTAACAACTTATATAAGACAAAGGGCAGTCTCTGAAAGCTCAAGCGACTTGGTTAGGTCAATAAGTGATGTAAGGCAAGAAAACAACTCATCTCCAATGACGCCTGACGTTAAATGGACTATGACAGCCTTTCCAGGCATTAATATAATTCCAATAGAGCCTTGCAGCAACGAGGTTAGTAAACCTACCCAAACTGATTTGTATCATAGTAAATAAATATATCTTTTCATCTCAAGTAAAATTGGTTTATTGGGTTTAGAATAAAAGGCAGTGGGGAGTATTTTTGCTCGAATCAAACGGCAAAACCTTTAAGCTTATCCACGACGCATACACAATCTCGACCCCATTGTTAGAGGAGCGTGAGTATTGATCACCAATGTATGAAATAATAATCACTTAACTATCGTTGACTAATCTTATCGATATATATGAATCAGATGCACAAATTAGATACGATAGAAAAACTGGCATAGTGACGATTATAAACAAATCTGTTAAAATATGGATTGACGAAATGCCTGTTAACTGTGATGTAGAGAAACCATTAGGGAGATTTTCCAGAATAGTACTGGCAAAGAGAGGTGAATGTGATCACAGTAGTATATCATTATTATTATTGCTACATTGCTGCAATATACTAAAACTTTTTTTGTTGGCTATAGTCGCTCCATATTATAATCTTCAATTAGCATTCGTCAAAGAATAAGAAAGACAATTACATAAGCATTTAGCCATTATTGGCATGTAATGATGACTATTTACATTTAATTATTGTGTAAATTAAAGAATAGACTTTTGGACAGCTAAATTCAAAAACTTGTTTTAAGGTTCGTCATGTCGTGTAATTTCTGACATAATCCAGTTACCGAACGATTATTGGTATTGGTAATTTCAACTTGCACTAACCTCGAAACCTAAATAGAGTCATTTTTATGTCGACGGAATTTATTATATTACTATTACTATATATGAGTTATTATTATATGGGGCAGACTGCAACAAAACCAGACAGGGTGAACATTTTTGTTGAAATGGCTGATGTGGCTGAGAAAATACATGAAGCTGCTGATGAGGCTGTTCTCAAATTTATTTATCATGGCAACTCAACTATTTGCAAAATTTATTTATAGGTTTGCTAATACTAAGACTACTGCATATATAAAAGTGGGCCACAGTTTACACTATTTATATTAGCCAGAAATTATTATTTCATCAACAGCTTTAATTGTGGAGAATCTGGTAATGCTCTCACGAAATTTTGTTGTTTTACTATCATGTAATTTTATATAAATTAATATTAAGGAGACCACTATACAAAGATATAATAACATCAAAAATTTAGAAATCTCCCAACAAATGTTTCTTCGCCGTCGAGGTTGATATCTCTCCATATCCCTAATTAGATTTTCCCTAGTCGTAGTAGTAGCAGTGAGGATGATATCATACCTCGACAATCTAGCTCTTACACGGGCCCACCGGGAAAACCGTTTACCCACTAATATTTCAAACTGTATTTTTATTGAGAATGAATATCAATGAAAGATAGTTGATATTAGTATATGAATAACTTCTCTTCGAAATTATAGTTTATTTCAAAAATCAGTTTTTATTTCGTAATAAAAATATGATATACAACATACAACAAAGGCAACTAAACAGAAAAAACAAAGTATATATAATAAAAAAAAATTTTTTCTTTGTTGCTCTCTCAGTAACTTCAATTCTTTATCCCTTTCTTCTCCCCTTCTTAATACTAACGCCATTTTCTCTTCCATTTCTTCCATTATCTATTACTGCATTGCGTAGCACGACTTCGAAACGTTCTTCTTCCGCAAGAGCAAACAGGTTGAGAGCAACAAGGTCTCTTAAATCCTCCACTAGCATATTTTCATCCCCATCCACAACTGATAATTTGACAGGATGTGGAGATTTTATCTCCTGCCTGTATGCAAAAAAATGAAGGATTTCGCTACCACCATTCCAATGCAGCAGTAGTATTACTGGTGTGAAATATTTCGACCGACTACGACCTCTGAAGTTATTATTATCAGCCAGTGAAGTAATCTTCTCCTGCAAAATACAATAACAATAAACAGAGTGGGTTATTAATTAAATGAACACAATTCCAAGGAATAGAATTTCAAGATGGTTTGTACCTCCAAAGCTATTAAATGTGTCAGATTAGAAGTCAATATAAATAATGGAAAGGTCGTTTTACTGATGACCAGGTCTGTTTTCATAAAATCGAATGCTCTATAGGTGCCATCCACTTCCAAATCCATTATATTAATATATGATTCTAATTTACTTCCTAGAATTCAAATACATAACAATAATTCAGCATCAGTCATGACAAACTGTATTAATGATAGCAATTTATTATGCACATCAATATCCATACTAATACATACCCATATTTGGGGCATGCTGCAACAAAACCAGACAAAGTGAACATTCTGAAATAAGAGGCTTGTGTGGCTGAAAGTTAACTAATTTGACTAATACTAATGACGTTTTGAAAAGTAATAGCAGTGCTCATTCATAACTTATAGGTACTTCCTCATTTCCTCAACGAGATTATTCTTGTGGGTGAGGATAATGAGGTTGCTCGACAATTTTGCTACAAAGTGTGGTTAAAAAATAGACATGTCCAACCCCTTGTTTCACAAAAATAGACTCTATTGAACGGAACACACACACAAACGTATCTCTGGCTGATAAATCTCAAGTCTTGTGTATTTTTACGATGGTTCTTCGTAATCGCTTTCTGCCTTCCTGCTGATACTTCTCGAGACTTGTCAATTTTAATTCTCACTTTTATCATACCAGAAGGTGATGAATATAAACCATAATGTGATTAATATAGGATTACCTCTATATTGTCATGGATAAGCTCTAACGTCTACGTATTCCTCCGAGATTTCCGCTCAGTTACACGAATCTCCAGTTCTGCGGCCAACGATCGACAAGTCCAGATCTCCAATGTAATACAAGTCCAATCACATACAAGAGCAAACAGATTCGACCCATATCGGGCCATCCTGTACGTAGCAACAAAAAGTGGATATATTGGGCTAACAGACGTTGGTAAAATTAGAACATTAGCAATTAGTGATACTTTCCCGATTTATGGCATGTCTAAAGCGGAGCAGATTTCTCGCGATTCCATTGGTCAAATTTGTATGACAGCCAATAAAACTGCCAATGCGTGATCACGTTCTGCTCCGCTTTAGCCTTTCCCCCGATTTATACCGAATTTGTTGACAAATAGGTTAGACAAGAACAGTTATTTGAGCGCGCCGTTTTCCTTCATCATTCATCATCTTCAGCTACAAGTCCATAAGATTGTCAACGGATACTCTTATTACTTTTATTCCTTTATCATTCGAATATACAAACGGTCCTTAGAATAGTTCTTTATATTCTAATAAAACTCTGACTGGTTGATTTTATAATCTCTCTTGTGGTCAGTTAAAATCCTGTGGTTCTATTGAATTCATCGATTCTGAAAGTAGCGAAAACCGCTATCCGGACTCTCAGCTGCGACTTGGTCTTGCCCCTAAGTTCGCATGTAATATCGGTTTGTGCAGGATATTTATTTAATTTTCTATAAACGCGTTAGTAGAAAACCTTTCCCAAACGATAGATTTCCGAACTTAATCCCAGCGGATCATAATCGTCGATTATTACTCGAGGTTAAATAAATATCCACGGATTAGCGTATATACGATACGAATTCTTCGTAAGTATTCAAAAGTCTGAGTGGAAATAACATACAGTCATCCCCCCCTATAAGCACACTCCTATATAGTCACAACCCCCTTATAGTCACATTTTTCTTGGAACCAACCGATTTCATAATAAATTTACCCCTATATACTCACATTCTGCTTAT